GGCAGGGGGGGTGGGGGGAAGGGGGGCAGTGGCCAGGAAGAGGAATCCAAAGAGGATCAGAAAGAAATAATTTTGATCCCTGTCCCCGTGTCACACCCCACCCCCTTTTGCCCACTAGGCCTGCGGGGCACTGAGGCTACAGGAAAGGACCAAGGCCCAGTCTCTACTTGGTGGCTGGCTGTTCGTCTAGGTTAGCCCCTCTGGTTCGAACCCAGGGACAAACCACTGCCACAGCCACGATGGCAAGGAGTGGGGGGCAGGAGCTTACCTACAGGAAGCTACAGAGAGATAACTGCTCCTCCTCCTTCCTTTCCTGCCTTTCCACAGGAAACCAACACCAGTTTCTAACCTACTTCATGAGAAGCATCTAGTTTTGATTTGATTAAAGCGACCAAGTTGTGTGAATAACTTGCCCTCGCCACCTATTCCTTATCAAATCTGTACTAACTCATGTGATGTGTTCACGAAATATTGACCGGGTTCTTACTGTACATACAAAACTCTTGGCTAGAGCCTTTAGAGAAAATAGTGATTTTGCCTCAAGGACCTCACACTATTTTTATAGACTATGTAAAATAGTCATGTGTGCCTATTACATACACAGTGTGATTATTTTACCAAAAGTGATTGATTTTAGATTATGCCTTGGTTTACCTTTTCTTGGATGCCTTTGTTGGGGTGCTTTATTTAGCAGGGGACTATTGCATCAGGAGGTATAGGTCCCCAAACCTCTGATGCGGAAGATAACGGGCAGAATCTTAACTTCCTGGCTGGATCGTGAATGTTTCTAAATCTTGAATCCTTCCATTTCTTGCCCACAAGGGGGAAGCAGGTGTGTAATAAATAATAATTTGAAATAATAATAAAAGGCAGGATAAGCCATTTTAGTGAGAAGTTAAATGCCACTGTGAACTGGGATGCTAACCATAATGTTAGCCTTTGGTAGATGAGATTGACAGGAGGACATCATTTTCTGTGACTGAAGCTACCGCAGTGGTGGCATCCTAGGAAATACTATCTTGCACGGTTCTCTTTATGAGGTTCTCTTCTCTTCGCTTTTGCCAAAGAATCCAGTTTAACCTGAGGCCTCTCCACGTGCCTCTTCTTCTATCCTTATTAGGAAATTTCCTTGCATGAGAATGACAACTGTTAAGTAGGTATTACTTAATACACATGGCAAATTATCCTGAGTTGTAAGTTAAATATTCTCTGTAAGGGATGGAATGCTATATTTCCTTCCATCTGATGTTTCCATAAACTCAGGTTTTTATGGGTGAGAATCTGTTTTCAGAATCTGAAGTCACACCTACCTGAATATGTTGGTGGGACTGTACAAAGGCAACGACTTTGTATATCCTCCCCACCCTGCACACCCCCCCCACCAAAAAAATTAAAAAAGAAAAAGGAGTGCATTAGTCCAAACACATTCTACTTCATTAGCATAGAGAGGGGGCCCTGGAGTCCCCAAACTCCCTTTCCAGCAGAATAGAGGGGTTGTAGGGTAACACAGCATCCATCCTCTGAGCCTCAGTTTTTTCATCTATGAAACATGACAAACTAGACCAGCTGACTTGTAGGCACTCTCCAGTTCTGTGGAACCTCCGCCCCAGTCTTCTCTGTTAATGATCTCAGTCTCTTCCTTCTCTCCTTTGCCTGCAGTGCTGCCTAGTGGCCGTATACCCCGGGGGCCAAAAGTTTGGACAGGCACTGCTGAGTCAGCATAGAGCCGAGAACCAAGAATCCATTTGTCAGAAGATCTCCTATGGAGAGGAAGGGCTTTCACTTCAAGACATGCATAAATAGAGCCTTAGAATATTTTTTTTTCCTAACCAGGCCTTTTGTGACTCCAAGTCCTAAGGGTTTGAAAAGGTAGGGGGATTAAGGGACCATCTAGCCCAACCCCCCCTTCGTTGTTATCCTGGTTGGTTTCACGGTTATGGACAATGGGTCCTCTTTGTTCTTAGTTCTTAGTTTCTGAAGTTCATTTAAAAAACTTTTTTATTACTTTTTTTTTGAGAGAGAGAGGGAGAGCAAGTGGGGGAGGGGCGGAGGGAAAGAGAGAATCTTAAGCAGGCTCCACACTCAGCACGGAGCCTGACGTAGGGCTCAATCTCACGCCCCTGGGATCATGACCTGACCTGAAATCAAGAGTCATATGCTCAACCAGCTAAGCCCCCCAGCACCCCTGAAGGTCATTTTTAAAAACCTGTTATGTGGGAGCTGTGCTTACTGAGGTAATATCTGAAATGGCCCAAACTGGGAACGGTAACCTCTTTCCTTTTTCTCAGTCACAATCTTTCCTTTATTAGGTGTCATTATTGGAAGTAAACAAATTTCTTACAGTCTAACCATCACCTCATATGGTGCTTGTGGGCATAGGACTCCAAGAGAAATATTTAAAGGGAGAAGAAACTGATTTCATTTGTTTTAATTTTATTTCTCAAAAGTTATTTCTTAAGATCTGAGTCAGTGTTTAACTTTGGATGTGGTTTGGGCTTTAGGGAACAAAAATCAGAATGCTGACTTCAGTCCTCGCTGCTACCGCCTCGCTGGCCAAGGTGACCCAGGCACGTGGCACCGCCTTGGTCTACCTTTCCCAGCATAGCACATCGGGATGGCACAGATCACCATCCTTAAAGCAACAATGTGAAAAGAACTTATTAAACTTCAAATGACTTCTCATTTACTGATAGAGAAATTGGGAGAGAGCAAAGTTTTAGTTATGCTTTCCAAGGCATGTCTTTCAGAAAATACTATTTAAGAAATACCTATAATCCACTTAAAAGCACTTTATAACTCACACTGCACCACCTATGTTGTTGCCAAAAGGAACATTGCTATAATTTACCTGCCATAGCACACAGTTGAATGCACACTAGACAAGACTGTATTTATGTTGATCACTCTTGTCCCCGGAAGCTTCCATTTTGCTGGGTTTTTATTTCACTCTCTAATCCCAGCTCTCTTCTATCTCTCCATCTCTTCCTTCTCACAGCTTTTTAATTATACCATCTCCACACTGAGGTCAGCTCTGCAGACTCGCTCCTTAGACTTCTACTCATGCTATACATTTTTTCCATTGGAAAGGTGTCTACTCATGAAACCTCAGTGACTTCATCTCTGTAGATAGCCCATTAATCTGTCTCACATCCTGACCTCCTGGAACTCTGATTCCACATCATCAGTTGCCTAGTGGGCATTTCCACTTTGCTGTCCTTTTGTGACTTGCCAACACTTTCCATTTTTGTGTCTTGTTGTCACTGTCACTTCAGACTCACTGTGAAACCTACACCTCATCAGCACAGCCTTTCTTCTCGCCTCCTGATTTCCCTGCTAGTGATGCTACCATTGATTCTGTTAATTCCTCTTGAAATGTCCTCTTGCCTCCATTCTCATGTCCCACCATGCTACATGGGCCATTGTTCTTGAATACCATCCATGGTCCCACATAAGACCCTTCATCATTCTGCTTCCGCTTCTATCTCTAAGTCCCATTTCTCTCCATGACTGCCTCCCTCCCACACCCTCACACTTGAGGGCTCCGCCATCCTGAACTTCCCTCACTTCCTCACATTTCCCTTTCCTTAACTTACCATACTCTTTGGGAGACCTGAGCTGCCTTCTGGCTACTTTATGAAATTGCATATGTCTCCTAGAGTTAACATAATCAAGTCCAGTTTGAGTCATCCAGTTCAAACTCTTGTGATGCTGAAGTCCCTTCTAAGGAGGTTGTTCTGTGTCCTCAAAAAAGTCAAGTGACAAAGATTTCAAACAGCACATTCCAGTAGAGTGCAATTCTGTCAGAAGTTCCTTTCTACCTTTTGGTCTTGAGATACCCCTTAAAGCAAAAGAGAAAAGTCTACACCCTTTTCCATAAACCAACTTTTAGATAAAGAAAGTGCTCCTGGCACCCCCACTCCTACCCCAAGTCTCCTTTTCAATTTATAATAGATCCACTTACTGCCTGCTTCCCTGAACATCTTCAGTCTGGCAATGAGTTTCTCCAGGGTTGATCCATAAGCCCGACTCCTCTGCTCACATTGTCGTCTGACCCATGGGAAATCACTCCTATGATTCCACTCCATTTCATCCCACTTCTCTGAGCCTCAGTTTCCCATTTCCCAAGAAATGAAAAGATTTCTTAATCCAGGATGGGCTCTGGGGCTCCATGAATGCCCTGAAACTGTATGCAACGGTTTGTATATCATGAGCATATGGACATTTTGGGGGAGGAGACCTACATGTTTTTATCACAATGTCAAAAGAGTCCATGAGTCACAAAGAGACTTTTTTTTTTTTAATTTTTTTTTCAACGTTTATTTATTTTTGGGACAGAGAGAGACAGAGCATGAACGGGGGAGGGGCAGAGAGAGAGGGAGACACAGAATCGGAAACAGGCTCCAGGCTCTGAGCCATCAGCCCAGAGCCTGACGCGGGGCTCGAACTCACGGACCGTGAGATCGTGACCTGGCTGAAGTCGGACGCTTAACCGACTGCGCCACCCAGGCGCCCCACAAAGAGACTTTTAAAAACCATTAGACTAAATGATATCTGAGCTCCCCGCTCCTCAGCTCTAACATTCTATAAGTCAAAGGTCCTAAGACACGTGACATTTTCTTCTTCCCTTGAGAGGAAGTCAGAGACCAGATATTACTCAGCCTGTTATTCAGTGACAATGAAGAGACAGAATCGTACAGAAGACCCCATTACATACCACACAACACCAACTGAAAAGGTTAGAGCGGAACCTTTTATGCCTTGTGAGGTAATCAGCTTCCTCTCCCTGGAAATATTCCAGCAGAAACTGAATTATCATCTCGCCGGGGTGATATACAAGGAATTTCTTTCAGCTGTATGAAGAGCCAGTCTTTGAGATTTCTTCTGAGTCAAAGATT